ATCTGATGGTAATCGTTGCACGACTTCGTGTATCTACCTGAAAACCCTCAGCTGGGCCTTTAGGAAGGGTAGAGTTCATGGTTTATATAAAACGGGAAGAGGATGAGTGTCGGGAGGTGATCGGTCAGCAGTGCCCCACCTTGACTGCATGATAGTGTGTAAGGGGTCGTGCACACCAGCGGGCACAAGGACCGTGTTGGGCACGGTGGCCTTGGGGAGCCTGGGCGTTTCCACTTGGCTCTTCCCTGCGCCCCAAGTGCGGCAGCCAAGCCCTCGGTGTTTGTGCTGGATCTGGTTCTCCTGGGGAGGGCTGGCAGCGCACTGCCCCCGGGAACTCCGTGCCCTCCTGGTCTTGGTTGGCTGCCAGGTCCCCAGTGGAACCGGCACCCTCACCCTGCAGACAGCAAGGGGCTGAGAACATGGGCAGGAACACGGGCAGTGTGTTCAGGAGGCGTGTGGCTGGCACTGCCCAGGGCAGCGGGGGAGCTCAGAGTCCACACTGACAGTGTGTGCTGCTCTCAGCGCCAGGACTGCGGGTCTCTGCCACCAGCCAGGGGTGGGTAGGTACTTTGGGGCAATCTTGCAGGGGTACACATGGCGTTTGGCCACTAGGGGTCAGTGTAGCCCCAACATGGGCCCCTGGCGCACTGGGTGCTTGGTGCTGGTGGGGGCGAGGGGCGCAAGGTGGGTGCCGTGCAGGTGAGGGGCACCTGTCTTCCCTCCCCACCCAGGCTGCCCACAGAGGCACGAGGGCAGTTCTGAACACGAGATCGGCACCTATCACCTGCATTCACCCCATTTCCAGTGGGCCTAGGGTTGAAGGGCAGCTCCTGTGCATGCCAGCCAGGGGTCCTGGAGCCTTCCAGAAGCTTCCTGGAGCTTAGACTTCCCCAGTGATGGGCACAGGTGGGTTGGGTGCTGGCATCTCAGAGTCACCTGAGGGAGCTGAGCCCAGGGAGGGACTTCTCCAGGGCCCAGGGTGGCCACACTCTGCACAGGGGCAGGAATTGCAGCATTTGTTATTTATTTCTGGACGGATTCTGGCACCTTTCAAGCAGAAGAATACTGTCCTTTCTTGTCATGGTGCTGTCCTGGTATCTCAGGGAGGTGCCGATGCAGGAGACGGACTCGATGAGGCTCTGAATCCCCCGGCCCCTCGCTTGGATCAACGTCCTAATTAATTCAAGCCTCTGCTTTATTCCATGATTTAACTTCATGATTTTCCGTGAGCCGGGCCCACCAAAGGTGGGGGCCTGGGAGGGGCTCCACCTCTATTCCCTGGGGGATCTTCCCAAAAGGGGCAGAGTGGAGCCCCGCCTGGACTTGCCCTGCTGGGTGGTTTCTTAGGGCTCCTCACTGTTTAAAACCTGGCCCYGGAATGTGCTGTGTACCCAGCAAATTCTACAACTCCCTTGGGTTCTGGTTTGAGCCCCTGAGAAAAAGCACTCTAAGCTCTCTTAGCTCACATAGGACACTAAAAACCTAGAKTTTCTGCAGTATTACAATAAATTCTATTTTTTTTGGGGGGGGCGGTATGGGGGATTGAACTCAGGGGCTCTCAACCACTGAGCCACACCCCAGCCCTATTTTGTACTTTATTTAGAGACAGGGTCTCACTGAGTTGCTTAGCACCTTGCTGTTGCTGAGTCTGGCTTTGGATTCTTGATCCTCCTGCCTCAGCCTCCTGAGCTGCTGGGATTACAGGCCTGTGCCACCACATCCAGCTTCTATTTCTATTTTAAAAAACACTCAAGTTCATGTGAAACACTTCAGGCGGCTTGCAAAATAGAAATATCAGATCCAGTTCCCTGAGCTCCTGGGAATGGTGGCAGCAGTGATTCCAGGCACATCAAACACCATGGGACAGGTGTGGTGGCACACACTTCTAATCCCAGTGACTTGGGAGGCTGAGGCAGGAGGATCTCAAGTTCAAGGCCAGCCTCAGCAACTAAGCAAGGCCCTAAGCAATGTAGTGAGGTCCTAAGCAACTTAGAGAGACCCTATCAAAAAATAAAAAGGCTGGGGATGTGGCTCAGTGGTAAAGCAACCCTGAGTTCAATCCCTAGGACAAAAAAGTCCCTTCCACCTAGTGTGGGTCCCTAAGTGAGAGTCAGTGAGTCAGTGGGCGGGCCCTGGTCCTTAGAGATGGTGGGCATGTCCTGCTTGGAGCCACCCCACGGCTCATCTAAGGAGGATGGTGGCCTGTGCTGGACGGGGCCACTCCACATGCCATGTCCCTTCATGGAGCCCCATGTTTCCCCTCCCCCATGTGGGCCTCAGCTCCACTTTGTGTACGCATGCTGGTTGGACTGGACCAGTGCCCAGCACAGACCACTTGGGCCACTGGATAAACGCTGCAGCTCCTGYGGCTCCCCGAGGAGAGCAAACGACTGAGCTGTTAACTTGGAATTCGCTGCTGTGCTGGGTAACAGCCGCAGAGAGATGGCGGGAGGGGAGAGGCTAGGGTCCACACAAGCCAGGCCTGCGCCCACCCCTCCTGCAGGGCCTCTTCCATCCTTCACCAACACTGGGAATCCAGCACTACGGTCACGTTCAGGCAGAATGAGAGGGTASGTAGGCCTGCGCCAAGCTCACACTAGTCCAAACGATGCCAACCACTTCAGATTTGTAATTTTACTTTATTTTTTGTGCTGGGGATTAACAKCAGGGACTTGCAATTTGGGAGGCTAAGGCAGGAGGATCAAAGTTTGCAAGTAGTAAAACACCCCTGAGTTCAAGCTCCAGTTCTACACCCACACAAAGGAAAGAGAGAAACCAGGGCCTTGCACTCACGAGGCACCCTGTCACTGAACTTTCTGTCCTGTGGATGCCACCGGACACCTTGAAGCCCCACCAAGCACGGCAGCCCATCTTTCTATAGCACCCCCTCCTCCCTTTAAAACTGTGGACTTAACATGGTGGACCCCACGGTGGACTCGGCTTGCCWGCACTTGGGTGTGAATGGGATCCTCTTCTGTTTCCACCCTTTGCAGATCTGTTAGTGAGGTTGGGCCATGTGTTCCTGTTTGGCCCCTAGGACCAGGAAACGGTTGTCTGGGCTGTCCCTGTGGTTACCTTGCAGCCTGCAGGTGTCCTGTTCCAAGGAAAGCATGCCCACACCCGAACCCACTTGCTGTATTTGAATTCTGTTTATTTAAACCCACCCCACCCTATTTGAAACCCTATTACAAAATATGCACTCCTGCGGGTTCTCCGGCTTTCCGCTCTCTCCACCCCCTTCAACCCAGCCTGGGCCTCCAGGCCAGGTGTCCACACTGTCTCCTCAACCTGATCACTGAGCTCCCCCCATGGGAGTCCAAGTCCAGGCCCTGGGCGGTCTGGGGGGTCCTGGACCTGTCACATTAGGGGGTGGCCTTTCTCCCTCCCTCCACCCACACATTTCCCGGAAGGACTTGCTAGTGGAAACTCCCAGAATTAAAAGGTTCCCAAGTAACCGTACCTGAGGTCSTCACGTTTCCAACAACGAGTAAAACTGGCGGAGCGGAGGAGACACACACACACACACACACGTAGAAACCCGGCCCAGGCTCTAAGGGACCCTGTCTTGGACGCTGAGCTTGGGGCTGTGGCCCAGGAACTGGTCCAGGAGGGAGGTCTCCCCCCTCCTCCATGTCCTACAGGCCCKCCCCTGAGGGGTGCCAAGTCCTGAAGCCCACACCTCTCAGCAGGCCGCCCCCAGGGAGTCGCAGATCTAAGGCTCCCTCCCCGTCGTTCCCTGCGGGAGTGGGACCGTGTGTCTCACGCTCTCGCCGCTCTGCTCCGCAGGGACTGGCCGGGGGTTGTCGCAGTTCCACCTGCCCACCCCGCCAGGAAGTGGCCCSCCGCCAGTGGCCTCCAGGGCCCTCATTCCCCAGCATTGCGCTTCAGGAGTAGCTGGTGGCCTGGGGACCGAACGACGAGTGCGCGAATGCGACAAGCTCGCCTCCGCTGTCCCCTCCAGATCCCCACCGGCAACCCAGGTTATTTTTCTTTTCTTTTCAATTTTGCACTTAAACTAAGTGGAGTGAATGCGGTTAGCTGCGCTCTGGTTTCAAAGTGCAGAGAACTTTGTGTGGGGGTCAAGCATTTCAGCCTCGGTTCGCGCCCCTAGTAAATGTGTAACTGACCCCCCCCCCCGCAGTCGCAGCTCTTAATGGGGGCTCCCGGCACCTCCGTCACTGTCCGCCCCGGGCCGAACCCGCGSGGCACTGGGGGCCGCGGAATCCGTGGATCGGCCCTACCAGGGTGGGGTGCGAGGCTTTGGACCGCTCCCGCGCGCCCGAAGAGCAGAGCCAGGCCGGGGGTCCCGGCCCCGCCTCTCTGCGCGCGGCTTCCTCGGCCCCGCCCCCGGGGAGGTCCGGTGGGGAGGCCGCCGGGGAGTGGGCCAGGTCCCCCGCCCAACCGGGCCGCGCCCCCGCGTCTCCATAGCGATCATCCCGGCTCGCACCTCGGGGCCGGCTCCCCCCGGGGTAGAACAATAAGCGGCTGGGCCGGGGGCGGGGCGGGGCCGGTCCAGGGGCGGGGAGAGCGCCGGCGGAGGGGCGCGGGCCCAGCGCACCGCCCAGGCAGCAGCCGGCCGCCAGGGTCTGCGAGGCGCGCTACGGCGCGGCCCAGACCGCTCCAGAGCTCAGCCCCCGCCCCGCCTGGTCCCGCCCCGCTTCCCACGCCCGCCGGGCCGAGCCCGCGCCGGGGCCACCTGGAGCCGCCTGGAGCCGCTGCTGCCGCAGGTTGATGCGCGGCGCCCTCCCGGGACKGCGGAGGAGCCATCTTGAAACCAACTTCGCAAACTTTCGCAAAGTGCTTTCGAAGTGGAAGCTGCGGGGAAGGCCRGGCGCGTGGCCTCCGGTGTCACCGTCTGGGCCCCCGGGGAGGCAGGGTGCGGGTCGCTCCGAGGGCCCGGCACCGGGCGCGCGGGAGCCGCCCCCCGGCCACGCCGGGTGGATGCGGAGGTGCGCCGGGTGCATGGATTGTGCTCGGGCGCCCGGCTCGGGCTCCGGGCTATGGCGCCGTCGCCACCGCCCGTGCTGCCCGCGCTGGTGCTCCTGGCCGCCGCCGCCGCCGCCCTGCCGGCTCTGGGGCTACCAGCGGCTGCTTGGGAGCCGCGCGTGCCCGGCAGGGCCCGCGCCTTCGCGCTCGGGCACGGCTGGACCTACGCATTGGATGCTGCGCGCACGCCCCGGGCATTGCGGGAACTGCTGGACGTGAGCCGCGATGGGCTGCTGACCGGACGGCGGCGCGGGCTGGACGCGGGGCTCCGGGGATGCGCGCGCTTGTTGGGGCGGCCGCTGCCGCTGCAGGTCCGTCTGGCCATGCCGGGCGCCCAGACGGCTCAGAGCCCGCTGCTGCTGGCGAGCACCCCCGGCCCCGGCTGCGGCTCCCGGCTGCGGCGCCGATCKGTCCCCGGTGCGGAGCTGCGAGCGTGGACACTGCGCTCGGTTCCTGGGCTCAGCAGGGCTATCTGCTTCCCGGATCCTGGCGGCAGCGCGGCTCCATTTCACTCGGTGCTCACAGTCCTTACCACCTTCCCCGCCTGCAGCTGCCCACTGCGACCTGGGTCCCGTTGCSCGTGCCGCCTCCTTTGCCTGCCGCAGGGCGACTCGGCCAGCCTGCGCTTCCTGTGCGCTCTGCAGCGTGCRGCCGGCGCCGTCCAGGTTGAGCAGGGTTTGGAGATGACCGCGGGGACGCCCTCAGCGTCGCCGCCGCCGCCAACGCCRTCTCCAATCCGGCCCCAGGCCAGGGCGGGAGCCGCGCGGCGGGCCCGGCGGGGCGCGGGCAGCAGCACGAGTCCGCAGTTCCCGCTGCCCAGCTACCAGGTGTCGGTGCCCGAGAACGAGCCAGCGGGTACATTGGTCATCGAACTGCGTGCGCTGGACCCCGACGAAGGTGAGGCGGGGCGCCTGACCTACCAGATGGAGGCGCTCTTCGACGAGCGCTCCAATGGCTACTTCCTCATCGACTCTGCCACCGGCGCGGTGAGCACGGCCCGCGCGCTGGACCGCGAGACCAAGGACACTCATGTGCTCAAGGTTAGTGCCGTGGACCACGGCTCCCCACGGCGCTCGGCCGCCACCTACCTCACCGTTACAGTTAGCGACACCAACGACCACAGCCCGGTCTTCGAGCAGTCTGAGTATCGCGAGCGTGTGCGTGAGAACCTCGAAGTGGGCTACGAGGTGCTGACCATTCGTGCCACCGATGGTGACGCGCCCTCCAATGCCAATATGCGCTACCGCCTGTTGCAGGGTGCGGGTGGCGTCTTTGAAATTGATGCACGCTCGGGAGTAGTGCGCACCCGGGCAGTGGTGGACCGGGAGGAGGCTGCTGAGTACCAATTGCTGGTGGAGGCCAACGACCAGGGACGCAACCCAGGCCCGCTCAGCGCGACGGCCACCGTGCACATCTTAGTGGAGGACGAAAACGACAACTACCCTCAGTTCAGTGAGAAGCGTTATGTGGTTCAGGTGCCCGAAGACGTGGCGGTGAACACYGCTGTGCTGCGTGTGCAGGCCACTGATAGGGACCAGGGTCAGAACGCGGCCATCCACTACAGCATCATCAGTGGGAACCTGAAGGGGCAGTTCTACCTGCATTCTCTGAGCGGGAGCCTCGATGTGATCAACCCGCTGGACTTCGAGGCCATCCGAGAGTATACACTTAGAATCAAGGCCCAGGATGGGGGCCGGCCTCCCCTCATTAATTCCTCGGGGCTGGTCTCTGTGCAGGTGCTGGACGTTAATGACAACGCGCCCATCTTTGTGAGCAGCCCCTTCCAGGCCGCAGTGCTGGAGAACGTGCCTCTGGGCCATTCCGTGCTGCACATTCAGGCGGTTGATGCAGATTCGGGTGAGAATGCCCGTCTGCGCTATCGCCTGGTGGACACAGCCTCTGCTGCCCTGGGGGGCGGCAGTGCTGGCTCTGAGGACCCCACCTCCACCCTGGACTTCCCTTTCCAGATCCACAATAGCTCGGGTTGGATCACTGTGTGCGCAGAGCTGGACCGGGAGGAGGTGGAGCATTACAGCTTTGGGGTGGAGGCAGTGGACCACGGCTCGCCGCCCATGAGCTCTTCTGCCAGCGTGTCCATCACGGTACTGGATGTAAATGACAATGACCCAGTGTTCACCCAGCCCACGTACGAGCTGMGATTGAATGAGGATGCAGCTGTCGGGAGCAGCGTGCTGACCCTGCGGGCCCGCGATCGCGACGCCAACAGCGTGATCACCTACCAGCTCACAGGTGGAAACACGCGGAACCGCTTTGCGCTCAGCAGTCAGAGCGGCGGCGGCCTCATCACCCTGGCGCTGCCGCTGGACTATAAGCAGGAGCGGCAGTACGTGCTGGCGGTGACCGCGTCCGACGGCACGCGTTCGCATACCGCACAGGTCTTCATCAACGTCACTGACGCCAACACGCACCGGCCGGTCTTCCAGAGCTCCCACTACACCGTGAGTGTTAGTGAGGACCGGCCGGTGGGCACCTCCATTGCCACCATCAGTGCCACCGACGAAGACACGGGGGAGAATGCCCGCATCACCTACGTGCTGGAGGACCCTGTGCCACAGTTCCGCATTGACCCTGACACTGGTACCATCTACACCATGACGGAGCTGGACTATGAGGACCAGGCCGCCTACACACTGGCCATCACGGCTCAGGACAACGGCATCCCTCAGAAGTCAGACACCACCTCCCTGGAGATCCTCATCTTGGATGCCAATGACAACGTCCCCAGGTTTCTGCGAGATTTCTACCAGGGTTCTGTCTTCGAGGATGCTCCCCCATCTACCAGCGTCCTCCAGGTCTCTGCTACTGACCGGGACTCGGGCCCCAACGGCCGCCTGTTGTAYACCTTCCAGGGCGGGGATGATGGTGATGGGGACTTCTACATTGAGCCAACCTCAGGTGTGATCCGTACCCAGCGCCGACTGGACCGTGAGAATGTGGCSGTGTACAACCTCCGGGCTCTGGCTGTGGATCGGGGCAGCCCTGCTCCCCTGAGTGCCTCTGTGGACATCCAGGTGTCTGTCTTGGACATTAATGACAACCCCCCTGTGTTCGAGAGGGATGAACTGGAGCTGTTCGTAGAAGAGAACAGTCCAGTGGGGTCGGTGGTGGCGAGGATACGGGCCAGCGATCCCGACGAAGGCCCCAATGCCCAGATCATGTATCAGATCGTGGAGGGCAATGTGCCAGAGGTCTTCCAGCTGGACCTGCTGAGTGGGGACCTGCGAGCCCTGGTCGAGCTGGATTTTGAGGTCCAGAGAGACTATGTGCTGGTGGTGCAGGCCACATCGGCCCCGCTGGTGAGCCGGGCCACAGTGYGGGTCCACCTCCTGGACCAGAATGACAATCCACCTGAGCTGCCGGACTTTCAGATCCTCTTCAACAACTATGTCACCAACAAGTCCAACAGCTTCCCCACTGGTGTGATTGGCCGCATCCCAGCGCACGACCCCGACCTGTCGGACAGCCTCAACTACACCTTCCTGCAGGGCAATGAGCTGGCCCTGCTGCTGCTGGACCCAGCCACGGGTGAGCTGCAGCTCAGTCGGGACCTGGACAACAACCGGCCGCTGGAGGCACTCATGGAAGTGTCTGTGTCGGGTGAGTGGCCRGGGAGGAAGAGGGCCTTCCTGTGGGCTGCCTGGGGAGCTGCGGGGACCCGCCAAGGGCCCCGCTGGGCATGCTYGGGCCCATTCAGGCAGGGCCTGGGCAATTCTTGGGGCCTGTGCTGCCTCTAGTTGCAGGTTGGGGGCATGCTGCCCACCAGGCCAAGCACAGGGGAGAGGCAGCACTCCGCTTTCCTCAGCAGTTTTGCCAGGAGCAGGCCTGGGCTTCTTCAAGTTCAAGTGCAGGCTTTCTCAGGGCTTTTCTCCAGTTGTGCTATTAAAACCTGGCCTCAGGGTTATCTGGGTCGTCTGGTGTGCTGAGTGATGTCCTTGAGTCAGCCGCTGCAGGCAGGGTTGTCTGAGGGATCAAAGGTCACTGCTTGCCCCATGTGCCAATTAGTCCCCGGGTGGGACCGTTGGAAATTGCTGATGTTCCCTGAGTCACCCTGTAATACGGCTGGAGTTCCCTTGGTCTGCTTTTCTGTCTCCTCCAGATAATAACAGCTCKGCTCACGTGTGTGTTCCCGCCTCTGTGCAGCTCTTTGAAACGTGTAACTCCGTTTGATCTTGGCTCCGGCTCTGGACGCGGGCTTGTAATTTGGGAGTTATTTCAGAGGCCGCCCATCTTTGTGGTGGATCCGGTATGAGAACCTTGCTTGCCTGCCCTGGGCTGGGGGGCAGAAGGAGAGGCGTCTCAGCTCAGCTACCAGTGGCTTGGTGGYGAAGCGCGGGCCCTGTGTGCTGCTGACCCTGCACTTGCAGGGGTCCAGCCTGTGGTACCAAGGACAGGAGGACCATGGAGGGTGTGGGAATTGGGAGTCGTGGGGAGACAGGATTGGGCAGGGGATAGGGGACAAGGAAGGGTCCTCCGGTGGCTCTGTGAGGTGGCCTGTCTGCCTACCCACCTGTGGATGAAGTCAGCTGGGCAGGCAGGTGGCCTTATTTATGAGACCAAGATACTGCCCAGAAGGGTCCTGTGGGCCTTTGGGTCCCTGTTTAAATGGTCACTGTGATGCAATGTTGCTGTGGGCGTCCTGTGAGAAATGAAAATTCACTTTGCAGAGTTTCCGCCTCTGGCTGTTTGTCCGTAGAGAGTTGGCATGGGACGGATGGTTCCTCATAGGATCTGGTCTCACAGGGTTGATTTTGAAGTCATGTGACACCTCAGCATAGGTTCTGGCCATGCAGTCACCCTGTTGGTGACCACTTCAGGTTTTGTGATGCCGTGAAAGTGTGTAAAGAATACGGAACAGGCTCCGGGGGACAGGCTGTCAACCAGACTGTGGGTACTCCTCGTGTACCCGGCACCCCCACGCCTCCTCATCKGATGGAGTGGAAAATTTGGCCTGAGTAGAAACAACTTGGCAAGATAGTAGGGTTGGGTGTATTTTCAGGGGACACGGAGCRTTAGTGGGAGCAGGTGCGTGCTGAGACAGGGTGTTGTGTGGTGTCCACGGTGCCGGYCCCTGTGTGAGTAGAGAGCAGGGCTCAGACGATGCGGATTACTGAGGCTCCCAGCAGGTGGGTGGGCAACCCAGGTCACCGCTGAGGGGGGGTGGAGGCTCCACGCTGCGTCTCAACGGCCATTTCTGGCTGTGGGGTCCTTGGCCGACTGGCCCTCAAGGAAATCTGGGGCTTGGTGCACTGACACCCCCACATGACAGTTTCCTTAGGCTGGTCTCTGGCTATCAGGAGCTTCCCAAACTCTCACAGTCACATTGTCATTTGTTCCTCGGTGACACTGAGGTAGGTGCCCAGGTACTGAGTGACCTTCTCAGGGCTGTGCAGCCAGGGATGGGGCACCAGGATGGGAATGAAGCGAGCCGCCCCTCACACCCCCCTCTCCTACCTTGGGAACAATTCTGAGGAATCCAAAGCTGGATGACTCCAGGCCAGGTCAGAAGCTGCGTGAGGTAGTCATGTTGGTGTGCTGTGTGACCCTCAGGCCATGGACACTGTTTACTGCCCCCAAGAAGCTGCTCACAGGAGATTGAGACCCGAAGGTCCTCATGGCAGAGTCCTGTGGGATCCAACCAATCCCAGCAGCCTCCAGACTCTGGCTTTGTAAGGAACCCTGCGGGAGGCTGTGGATTCAAACTGAAACCACTTTCAATGAGGTGCAATTGTCAGCGCAGGCTTTACAGCCTACCCTAAAGTCTTTGATGCATTATTACTGCCCTGGAGGCTCTGGGCAGGAAAGGGCCCCGGGCATGCGCTAGAGGGGGGCAGCTCCTTGCAGCCTGGCCTGGGGATCATCTTCATTCTCCAGGGTTAGCAATGATGGTGTTGGGTTGCCCCACCCCCCCCAAGGACAAAACACTTTTTTGGGAAAAAATGTAATTTTTTCCCCTGGTCCTAGGGATGGAACCCAGGGYCCTGTGCATGCTAGGGGAGTGCTCTACTGCTGATTGACACCCCAGCCCCCGCCCTGAAAATTTTTGAAGTCTGAATACAGTGGAATTCAGATAGCTGCCATCTTTTAAATACCATTAGCTATTAAGGTGTTCATTTCATAGGTGGCACTTTTGAATGAGGTGTTCGATTTCTGTGGCTGGGATTTTTTTCCCCATGAACGTTTATAAAAGCTGCGTGTGTTTTTCAAAGTCATGTGCCTGGGAACCCGGTGCAAAACTCCTGCGTGGCCCCTTGCAGACGTGGGTCTTTTAGTGACGCTGACATTTTTAATGCACCTGGAACATGTGGGTGCCTGTGGGTGGGTTCTTAAGCTGTGTGCCTCACAGAACTTGGCAGCCGTGGAAGGTAACGTCCCCACGTCTCCCACGGTGCAGGTGTGTGGCAGTGTCACGGGGCGAAAACGGTTGGTCGGTGAGTCATTCACATGTGTCAGAAAATGTTGGAACTCAGCGAAATCATACGATTGGGAATCTGTGCCGTTGGCTCTGAGGGGGAGTGGACGGTCCTGCAGGTCGGGTGAAGTTTTAAAGGTATTTGCCTAGTTAAATGCAGGCTATCACAGGGACTTTTAAACAGAAGGTTACAAACAAGGAAGTCGGGCTGCCTGCTGTGCCAGGCGCGGCCTGCATGGGAGGTATCACATTTCCCCGAAACGAAACTCGCAGTTGGCAAAGGTTGGTGGTCTTGAATCACCTCAGTGGCCGAGCTGGATTCTCCRAGGGACAGAAACCATGGGCCACTTTTGGCGACTGGTTAACCATTTAAAGGCTCTGACGGCTTTGGAGATGTGCTCATGTGTTTTAGAAGCAAGAGTGACTTTAACTTACTGAGCATCCATTGTGCACGAGGCCCAAGAGCCCTTTTGAGGCCCCAGAGAGCCAGCATGGCCCTGGAGAGCCAGCGTGGCCCTGGCTATACACAGATTGCTGACTTCAGTGGCAGGGATGGGGGGTGGGAATTTGTGCCAACGTGGGGGTGTGAGGTGAGCAGCTTGTGGGAGACCAGAGGTGGAGGGATCCCTTGAGCCTGGAGCGATCTACCGTGATCTGTAGGACCTGCTGGGAGGCCGGGACAGTGTTGTGGTTGCTGACGGCTGGTCTCTGGCCTGAGAGAACAGAAAGCAGGGCCAAGGCCCCTGAAGGGGTTCCCGCGAAGCATGGGTGAACAGGGAAGCATTGCCAGGAGAGACGGTCAGATTCGGTGGCAGTGGCGGGGTCATGACGTGGCCGGGAACTGTCCTCTCGGGCCACATTCRGTTCTTGCTGCCACCTCCTGATGTGGGCACACCAAGGAAGCTCTGGGGACACTGCGTATGGTGGCAACTGTGCTCCCATTCATAGGACCAAAGGGTCTGTGTGAGGCCAGCACAGGACTGACCACATGGGGAGAGCTCGAGGCGGGGCTCCTGAAGGAGGCCCCTCCTGAAGGAGGTCCCTGAGGTTAGGGAGCCTGAGGACAGGTGCTGGCGCCTTGTGAGAGGCCSGGGAGGGGAGCTGGGAGCTCAGGTGCACCAGCCTCCTGGCCCGCCCTGCGACACCCCTGGCCCTGCAGGTGCCTCCTAACTGGGTACCAGCAGCCTCTGGGCCTCTTTGGAGTTGGGGTGGGCATTGTTCCAGGGTCTCTCAGGCCTGCTGTGGCCAAGCCCTGTGCAGCTGGGGGTGCTGCTGGTAGCTGCTTCTCTGAGTCTTTGGGCCTGGAGGGGGCGGGGGGCAGAGGCCGTGGGAGCAGGGCCCTGGGAGGCAGGAAGGGGTGCAGGTCCCCGGGGGCCTGACGTGCCATGGCAGGGCACCCAGCAGCACCAGGTGAGGTGAGGGGCAGGAGGGGGCTGCTGAAGTCACCTAGGTGGTGGCTGGTGTTCTTGGTGGCTCTGGAGCTCTGTGGAGGACCTGTGTCACCGTGGAAGAGTCTGCTTGGTTTGAGCTGACGTGTAGGCCTACCCCATGGCAGACACCGGTTGAGGAGCGGGATAGGTGGAAGGTGGGGCCCCTGGCAGCAGCGTCTGGGCCTGGGGCGTGTGTATGGCCGGGTGCCACAGGCCTCTGTCCCTGCCAGTGCTGAGATCCAAACAGAGGTAGATGTTATCTTGTGGGGCAGAGCATGTGGAAAGTATGCACAAGTTTGGCCAGGTGTTCRCTGTTCACAGCCCTCGGGAAATCGTTTTCTGTGGTTTTCCTTGGTGTCCTCTAACCCGAACACAGGTTCATGTCAGCGTCCAGAATCAGGTCCCTGAGTACCGGGAGGCAGCCCTTTAGGTCACACTCCCTGGTCTTCCCTGTACTTTCCGGTGATCTTTTTGGAAGGGTGCTGGGTCCACCCCAGGAAACACGGRGTTCGGGTTCTAGGCTGTGAGGGTCTCAGGGACAAACTCATGCCTGGGGCTGCTCCTTCCTGCATGGTGACCCCCACCCCCACCCCGGCTGCCTCTGCTCCCCGAGGGCCGGGGCCTGGCTCTCGGGAACACTTGGCAAATATTTGTGGTAGGTTATTTCTGGAATGAGCTGGGTGGGGTCACCCAGAGGCATGGGGCCCTGCCAGGGGATCCAGAGCACCCCCAAGAGCCCTCTTCAGTCCCTCCCTCCA